ACTAGTTGATGATTGAATACAGCTATCAGAGGTATTAAATGAGATGCTACATCCAAACAGCATAAACCCTTGAAGGTGCTATGTACCTCTGTGCTAGCATCCATGAAGAGAAACACACAAGAAAAAGGTTGGAACCATTAAGGCCATGCCCATGGGTTCAAGGGTTAAACATGGACTGGAGCCCTAATGGAATGATCAAAGATGCCTTCCATTTCCAGTCTCTGGCTAGAAACTCTGATTTTACTCCATGATGTCCCCAACATCGGCAGAGTGTGGCTACATGAGAAGATGCTAAATGACTGTGTAACCTGCTGTCTAGGGTGCGCAGGAGAGAAGCCGAAGAACCACTCCCCCACCCAGGACCAGTCCCACAGGACACTGTGGTGATGGACAAAGGACAGGGCTTGCTGGAGAAAACAGTCCCAGGGCCCAGAATGGGGAGTGGGTGTCCTATCATCCCCAGGGGCACCCTCCAGCTGCGCACAACTGGATTCAGGGGCTCCAGCTCTGCAGCTTGTCTTTCCCAGAACTGCTCCTGTTTATTCCCACTTCCTTATGCCTAGAAGTGAGTGAGAACAGGACAGGCAGGAACTGTGTTCCAGTTACCAGTATATCCCAGTGCCCAGTAAACCATTCTGATTTAGTCTACCTCTGGAGAGTAAGTACCTCCAAGACTTCCCACCAGATTCTCTCTGAGGTCAACAATCATCCTCTGAAACTCAACCCAGATGTCCCCTTCCCAGCCTCCCAGGCATCTCTGTCATACCTGAGACCAACACCAGCAGTGGCTGAGATAGTCAGCCGCAAACAGAAACAGTGGGTGCACAGCCAGTGCCAATGAACACTGCCTCCCTGCAACAGCAGTACCCGTCTTCAGTTACTCTCTGGTCTACACTAGAAGACGCATACAGCTGAGACCAGGTACACATCAGCCCCTCAGGAACCGTCTGTAAAGTTCTAGTTTTTGGACCCCTTTTTTTGGCTCTGGATGACTCAAACACATACTGGTTGGCCCCCCGACCTCTAAAGCTGATATATGCTGCTAAACCCTCGGGCTTGCACATCATCCTGGACGGGTAGCTGTGAGGATGCACACGCGTTTAGGAGGCTCAAGGCTTTGGGGACTTCTCCGGTGAAAAAAATCACACTCAGTGGGAAAGTGAACTAAGCTTTTGGGGCCAAAACCGAGGGGAGAGCGGCGCGATGACCGATTGAACCCACCTGTTAGAGTCCCCCGTCCTCTCACCACCCACCTGCTTTCTCCACCTCCGGGTCTCCAACCTGGACTCTAAGTAACATCCCAGTCAAAAGCAGCCGATGCGAACGTCACGTTTATTCTGGCTTCTCCAGTTCCCCAAGCCTACCTCTTGGCAGATGAGTCCCCCGGAGCTCTGACGGTAGCCTCACGTTCTCTCCCGCGGCTGGACATCTGTTTTTGGGTAGTAGGAGTGATCACAGCCGCCAGCCACGGACAGGACAGGGGCGTGCACTCCGCAGCACCCAAACAGAGCGAGTGTCCATCCCACAGGCGCGACGTGTTTACAAAGTCTGCACCGCCTCGCAGATCACTAGCTAGAAGCTGGGCAGGAAGTGGGGACGAGGGGGCGGGCGAGACAAAGGAGCTGGGTGCTGCGCTCCGCTGGGGTTTGGTCCCTGACACCCCCCAGAGCAGACAGGAGAGGCTTATCCAGCTCTAATCTGTACTTCACCGGAGGTCTACAGACCTGATCCTCAGCCCCAGGTAGTGGTGGTGGGAGGCACGGTGCCGTTCGCCAGGTTCAGGTGTACACACTCCAGAGGATGCCTTCTGGGCGTCTGCAATTCGTGGTGCACGTTACTCAGGAAGTAAGCAGCAGGTTTGAGTTCTTAACTCTTACCACACAGCCAGGCGCTGCAACACCTGATACCTCACTCCACCCCCAGTTATCACGCAGGGAAACTGAGGCACAGTGAGGTTAGATAATGTGACCAGAGTCACCTGAGTCACGTGTGTGTGAGGACTGAAGCTCAGTGATTTCATCTGGCCAGGCTTCCCTCCCTGCCCCCCGCCTCCGCCCCCGCCAAAAGGGATGAGAAGAGGCAAGGTCTCTCCTGAGGAATTTCCAGTCCAGAGAGGCTGAAGTTGGTAAAACGGACTCAACATACTGGAAGTGGGAGGGACAAGAGACAAGCTTCCTCGTTCACTTAGCAGTCGCAGGCTGAGGGCTAGAGATGACAGTGCCGGGAATCGCAAGGAGCTTGGTGATAAGACTAAAGCTTCAGCTGGCAGAGTAGTTGCCTAGCATGTAAGAAAACCCTGAGTTCCCCCAGCACTGTGTAAACGGAGTATGGTGGTGGATGGTGGTGGATTCCGGTAACCCCAGCACTCTGGAGAAGTTTATCGAGAAGGTAGGATAATCTGGGGAGGGTCTGTCTTCATCTCTGTTCTATAGCTGTGAAGAGATACCATGACCACCACAGCTTTATAGAAGAAAGCATTTAGTTGGGGGCTTGCTTATAGGTGTAGAGGGTTGGTCCACAGTCATCCCCACTGGTGGGGAGCATGGCAGCATAAATGAGGGTGAAAACACCACGCTATGTCTGATCTCCAGGCAAAGAGAAAGAGAAGGGGGGGAGCGATGGGGGAGGGGAGAGAGAGAAGCACTAGGCCAGGTGGGGGCTTTTGAAACCTCCAAGCCCACTCGCAGTTTGACACATCTTCCAACTAGACCACACCTCCTAATACTTCTCAAATAGTGCGGCTCCCTGGTGACTAAGCATTCAAATATATGAACCTATGTGGCCCATTCATATTCAAATTACCACAGTGTTCAAAGTCATCCTCTGCTATGTAGCAAGTCTGAGACCAGCCAGGCTACATGCAACACAGGCTCACACAAAACAACCGGTATGAAGGCCCTCTCTGAGAGAGTGAGGTCACTGGAATTGGGCTGGCCCAACAAGCTAAAAAATCAGCCAAACTGAGAAAGCCCTGCTAATGCATTCAGCCTCTAGAACCTTTTCAGATGTGCCTTTTAAGGACTGGAGAGATGTTGCGGCAGTTAAAAAAACACCGGATTCAATTCCCAGCACCTACCTGGCAGCTCACAACAGTCTGCAACTCCTGTTCTAGGTTACGCAAAGTCCTTTTTTGGCCTTCTCTGGCACCGGGCATGCAAGGGGTTCACAGAGATACATGCCGGCAAAATGGTCATACACATAAAACAAATGCATGCATTTTTAAGAAAAGCACTTAATTTTATTATTGTATTTGTGTGTGTGTGTATTTTTGCACAAGTGAATACCCTCAAATGCCAGAAGAGAATATCAGATCACCTTGGAGCTGAAGTCACAGGCAGTTGTGAGCCACTCAACATGGATGCTAAGACTTTGAACTCTGATTCTCTCCAACAATGGTGTATGTTCTTAACTATTGAGCTGGGAATTGAACCAAGGTTCTCTGGAAGAACAGTCAGTGCTCTTAGTGGCCGAGTCATCTCTCCAGCCCTCAAAAGTGCATTCTTAAGTGTGTTCTTAGTTGGATGGTGGTGGCGCACGCCTTTAATCCCAGCACTCAGGAGGCAGAGGCAGGATCTCTGTGAGTTTGAGGTCAACCTGGTCTAAAAGAGCTAGTTCCAGGGCAGGCTCCAAAGCTACAGAGACAATCCTGTCTTGAAAAACAACAAAAACAAATGCATAATTAAACATGGCCGGGAGTGGAGGCTCAGGGAGGCAGAGGCAAGTGAATCTTTGTGGGTTCAAAACCAGCCTGGTCTACAGAGCTAGTGCCAGAACAGGCTCCAAAACTACACAGAAAACCCAATCTTGGGGGAAAAACAAAACAAAAGTGTATTTTTAATAATAAATTATTTCTTTTTTTTAAAAAGATTTATTTATTTATTATGTATACAGTGCAGGCCCAAAGAGGGCACCAGGCCTCATTACAGATGGCTGTGAGCTACCATGTGGTTGCCGGGAATTGAACTCAGGACCTTTGGAAGAGCAAGCAAAGCTCTTAACTACTGAGCCATCTCTCCAGCCCAATAATAAATTATTTCATATCAACAGCTTTATTTTTACTATCTATCTACTTATTTTTCTGACAAGGAAGGTCTCCTTATGTAGTCCCAAACTGGCCTGGAATTCCCAATCCTCAGGCTCAGTCTCAAGGTGGTAGGATTATAGATGGCTGGCTTCTAGCCAAAAAAGGTTCCTTTTAACTCGGTGTAACCCACAAAGTGTTTTCCAGAGCCATTGCCATAGCGCCGAAATGTCCAGGAAAGCTTGGCTCACACAGAGTCACAAGAGCTGGGGTAGTCCGATCTATTCCTTCCGCCCCCCCACATTTCTTAGAGCTTTTCCGCGAGGCGGGGCACCTGTGGCCCCGCCCTTCGCCACCTTCCCACGCCAACTACAAGTCCCATCGTGCCTCGCGCTCACGCGCACTACGTGAGAGCAAGATGGCCGACGCGGCGGCCGGGCCTGGTGGCTCCGGAACGGTAAGGGTGGAGAGGCGCGGCGTAAAGTCGAGAGGGTTTGGCTCTTCTGGATCTTTTCCATGGTTTGGGCCACAATCTCGGACCGAGAAACCCAAACCCTTTCTGAGATACGATGGTTGAAAAGTCTTCCTGGCCAAATGCGTCCCCCGCTGCTAGAGACTTGGCGGCGGCCTCCTAAATTGGTGCACCTGAGACGTGATTGGCTCGTCCCCTGGTGAGGGTGGGAACCCGGAACGCCTTCTGATTGGTCTGAAGAGGCTGTTTTCATCCTCTTACTGGCCAGCCAAAGTTGGAAGAGGGTTCCTTTTCAAAATATTTACCTTCCTCGCCTTTCTTTGAGGTTACTTTAGCCCTCCTCTGCGTCCGGTGTTGTTGCTGTTTTTATTTTCCGTGTTAATGAAGTGGTGTGGATGGAACAAAAGACAGATTTATTCGTCCAGTCTCATAATTCGTGTATATATTCCTTTTTTTTTTCTTGTCTTTTTTTTCCCCCTGAGATAGGATTTCTCTGTGGAACAGCCCTGGCTACCTGGAATTCGTTCTGTAGATGTAGACTAGGCTGATACACAGAGCCTCTTGCCTCTGCCTCTGCCTCCGAGTGCTGGCATTAAAGGTGTGCACCACCACCACCCGGCTTGTGTGTATATTCTGGTAATTTGCTCTAGAAAGAAGTGAAGGGGCTGGAGAGATGGCTTAGTGGTTAAGACCTGCAGGTGCTCTTCTAGAACACTCGAGTTCGGTGGGTCGTTTCGCAACCACCTGTAACTCCAGCATAATGGAATCCGACGCTCTCTCCAGGCTTCCGGAGACACTTGTGCTCACATGAACACACACACATATCTACATGTAATTTTTTTTTTTTTGCTTTTTCGAGACAGGGTCTCTCTGTGGTTTTGGAGCCTGTCCTGGAACTAGCTCTTGTAGACCAGGCTGGTCTCGAACTCACAGAGATCCGCCTGCCTCTGCCTCCCAAGGGCTGGGATTAAAGGCATGCGCCACCACTGCCCGGCTGTGATTTTTTTTTTTTTTTGAGCAAGTAGTGTTTGTCTTATTGGAAGCCTCTGGATTTGGATGCTCAGTTATTACTCACTTGGTGAGATCTGTAACTCTAAGTATCAGACACTGATAAATATTTAGCAGGAGAACCTTTGCTAGCCAGGCCACAGTTGCTGCATGCCTGTAATTTGTATGCTGAGGAGGCGGAACTTAGAGGATGGCAGTGTGGTCCTGGGCTACACATCCAGCAATAGGCCAGCCTGTTTGCCATTGATGCTGTGTGCACTCTGTGCTTTCATCCTGGCCTAGCAGTAAGAAGTCTCCTCTTTTTGGGCTTCTGCTTCCAGAGACCAGGAAGTAAGCAGTCCACTAACCCTGCTGATAACTACCATCTGGCCCGGAGGAGGACTCTGCAAGTGGTTGTGAGCTCCTTGCTGACCGAGGCTGGATTTGAGAGCGCGGAGAAAGCGTCCGTGGAAACACTGACAGAGATGCTGCAGAGCTGTGAGTACCGAGAGCCCAGCTTCAGAAACTGTCTTCTTAGATACTGTCCCCCTTTTCTTGGAAGGCCGAGGCTTACCTTCAGACAGAAGAAAAAAATTGTCCATTGTAGCATAGGACTTGTTTGTTTTGATGTTTGTATGTGTGGTAAGAGATATGTAGCAATATTGTCATTTTAATCATTGTCATTTAATCATTGACATTAAGTGTGCACTCACAGTGCTGTACCATGGCAACTCTTATAAAGGAAAACATTTAATTGGGGTCACTTACTGTTTCAGAGGTTCAGTCCATTATGTGTGGCTGGGAGCATGATGCCACGCAGGCAGACATGATGGTGCTGGCTACGTCTTGATAATGCAGACACAGGACATGGACTGTGACACTGGGAGTAGCCTGAGCATAGGAGACCTCAAAGCCCACCCCACAATGACACACTTCCTCCAACAAGGCCTTTCCTACCCCAACAAAGTCACACCTAATAGTGCCACTCCATTGGGGAGCCATTTTCTTTCAAACCAGCACATGTGATATATATCATATCCTTTTAAAAATTACTCTTATTAGTTGTGTGTATGGTGGGGACTGTATGCTTGCCATAGCACAGATATGGAGGTCATAGGATAACTTGTGGGAATCAGTTTGCTCCTTCCATCCTATGAGACCCAGGGATGGAACTCCTGTCATTGGCAGTAAACACCTTTACCATTGAGCCATTTTGATTTTGCTTTTTATTTGCTTTTTCTCTTTACTTCAGATAAATGGAATCTGAAAATTTTTACTTGTCATTTTTGTGCCTGGTTTATGTGATTTAACACAGTGTTTCAAAGTTTACCCATGTTATAGATTTCATTCCTTTTGAGGGCTGAACACATACTCCGTTGTAGAGCTGGATAGGGTGGACGCACTATAACCCTAGCCCTTGGGAGGTAGAGGCCAGAACAGCTGGCCATCTGGAAACCTGTGAGAACAAGCGTCAGTGCTCCGTGTGATGTGTGTGCCCCAGTTGGTTTATCCACTGGAGTCTCAGTGGAGAGACTCCTTCCCACCTTCTGACTGTTGAGAATTGGGCTACCATGTGTGAGTGGACACAGTGCTGTTTGTGCCCTGCCCTTGCTCGTGGGGTGTGTATGTAGAGTAGAACTGTGACTCACTGGTAACCCTCTGTTGAATTTGGGAGGAACTGTGGCCTTTGACCCTTGTAGACATCTCAGAAATCGGGAGAAGTGCGAAGTCTTACTGCGAGCACACAGCCAGGACCCAGCCCACATTGTCGGATATCGTGGTCACACTGGTTGAAATGGGTGAGCTCATCTCCAGCATCTCCTGCTTTCTCATCTCTGAGTTGGGGCCACTAGGGAGGGAGGAAAGCCTGGTGGTTGGGGTGTCTGCTGAGTGTTCATGGATTCCCTCCTGTTTCCCTTGATCTGCTTTTAGCTTAGGAGGTTAAGAGGAAGAGACCCCTAAGTCCTTGTTAGAGGACTCTGCTGGAACGTCTTTTAAGGGGCAGAATAGTGGCTAAGTTGGGAGATTAAACCCCCTTTCCCCCACTGTGAACGTCCCTTTTGTATTCACAGGCCTAGGCAGTGATTGTCTTTCTTGTCCCTAGGGTTCAATGTGGACACTCTTCCTGCTTATGCAAAACGGTCTCAGAGGATGGTCATCACCGCACGTAAGTGGCTTTGGAACCCAGGCACTTAGTGAGTACTCAGGTGTTGGAGATAGGGCAGACCTCAGAGTGGCAGCTGTTCTTGTTGCAGGCTCCTTTCCAGTCTTTGGGAGGGGTTAACTACCCACAGCCTGATTTGATCTGGGCAGTGGGATTACAGTGCGAAGCTTCGTTTCCACACAGCTAAACCGTTTCTGAGCTCCTGCTGTTGTACTGCAGCCCTGAAGAGCAGATGCGATACGAGAAGACTATAAAAGTTCTTGCTTCTGCAGATCAGAGTTGGCAAACTAGGGTCTGTGGGCAAAATATGGTCCACTGCTTGCTTTTCTGAACAAAGTTCCATTGGCGTGCAGCTGTACCCACTTACCTGTCATTGCTTTCATGTTTTATTTATTTATTTTTGTAAATATTTATTTATTTATTATGTATACAATATTCTTTCTGCGTGTATGCCTGAAGACCGGAAGAGGGCACCAGATCCCATTACAGATGGTTGTGAGCCACTGTGTGGTTGCTGGGAATTGAACTCAGGACCTTTGGAAGAGCAGGCAATGCTCTTAACCGTTGAGCCATCTCTCCAGCCCTGCTTTCATGTTTTAAAGGCAGTTTTGTGGCTTGCACCATCCGAACTGCTCCTCTTTGGTAGCTACTCGTGAGGGTGAGGGCTGCTCTAGAGCTCTAGTGCACTGGGGATGCATAATGAGGGCTAGGCTAGCCTGAGCTACACAGGCAGGATGCTGGCTCAAAAAACAAGCAAACAAAAGAACTATGTCTAATGTATCCCTGTTGAGAAGGTTAATTCTGCTTTAGATAAGTAGGTCCCTTAAGCTAAGTAAGGAGTAACTGCTTTAGGCTTTAGGACTTGGGGCGAATTGCTTTATTTGTCTTTTAAAGTTACTCTTTTGCATTGGCATCTTTTTGATACTGCATCTGTTTACTGTGTGTGTGCATGTGACTATCAGAGGAAACTTTGTGAGGCTGTCTCCCTCCACCATGTGGGTCCTGGCGATTGGCTTGGTCACCATCTTGCCACCTGCATTGGAGAGAGGCAATGGAAAGCACCATTTCCCTTCCCATCCTATAGTTGTTAAGCCCACACTTTCCCCAGCTCAGTATTTGTTATTTGGGGGTCTCTGAATAGTGTGTGTGTGCTGGGGATTGGACCTCAGGGCCTCCTGCATGCCGAGTAAAAGCTGCACTGAACACTGTTCCTAGTGCCCTCGCGGTCCCTGGAAAGATAGCCAGCAGCCTCTGTAATGCCCCTGATGAACTTCAGCATGTTCTTTTATGTGGTGGCTTTGGTGACGGCCACTCTTGTGTTGATGCAAGGGGCTTACAGGCGGATTGTCACTGATTGAAATATCAAGCAAGATTACCTGGCAGGGCTGGTCATTGTGTGCTGATCTGAAAAGGTTCTGGAAGGTCTTTTATCAGTGAAGAGCAAGGTGCTTAGTCACGGTCCAGTGACAGGAGGGGTTTGAACGGGGACTGTTGTCTGTGGAATGCAGGGTTGGAGAAGTAACCAGTTGTGATTCTGTTGCAGCTCCGGTGACCAATCAGCCAGTAACACCCAAGGCCCTCACTGCAGGGCAGAACCGACCCCACCCACCACACATCCCCAGTCATTTTCCTGAGTTTCCAGATCCCCACACCTACATCAAAACTCCGGTGAGTGGTGGAGCCGCCAGGGGCTGTGAGTGATGTGAACGCAGTGGTGAACAGTTGCTGGTGGCAGTGCCATTCAGTTCTCACGACTTTCCCTAGAGAGATGCAACCTTGTTATGGACATGGTGGCCCAGCCCTGTAACCCCAGCACTGAGTGTGAGGCCAGCCTGGGTACAGACTGAGCTGCTGCTGATCTGGACTGCAGTCTCCGAGAGTCCTGGGGCTGCTGTGACAAAGTGCTACACAGTAGATGACGTAGAGCCATAAAAATATATTATTCCATAGGCCTAGGGGTCAGAAGTTCAAAATTAAGGTGTTATCAGGGCCACGCTCCCTCTCAAATCTGTAAGGAATCTGTTCACCTTGCCCTAGCCAAGGATGTGCCAGCGTTTCTCCAGCGTTTCTTGGTTAATAAGTGCGTCACTCCTATCTGCCTGTCTCTGCGTGGTGCTGACTTTCTGTTTAACACACTTTGTCTTCTCTTAAGACATCATTTGTCCTTCATGACTTCGTTCTAATTGATGACATCTTTGGTGACTTGTTGCCAAATAAGGTCATCTGAGATGCCAGGAGTTAGGAATTGACTATATCTAAACGTTTTTTTATGGGAATACAGTCTGTTCCTAGTGCTCATACCCCTTTTATAGTATGTTAGTGCATCCGGACAATAAAATAATGTAAGGAGCTCCTTTCAGTGTTGGTTTCTGAGATTGAGTCTCAGACGGCTCAGGTTGGCCTCCAACTCAGGACGTAGTTAGAGATGACTTCAAATTCCAGGACCTTCTCCTCTCCCTCTGAAGTGCTGAGATAACAAGTGTGTCTCGTTACATCCACATCAGATGCTAGCCATATGAATATTATCACTTAGCCTGCTACAAATAACATACATTAAAAAATAACCTCACCCTTATTTAAAAAAAAAAAAAGTCCAGAAAAAACCTGTGACCTTTTGAGTGGGAGCCTTGCTGTGGCCTCTGATTTTCTTTTTTCTTTTTTTGGTTTTTCGAGACAGGGTTTCTCTGTGGCTTTGGAGCCTGTCCTGGAACTAGCTCTGTAGACCAGGCTGGTCTCGAACTCACAGAAATCCGCCTGCCTCTGCCTCCCGAGTGCTGGGATTAAAGGCGTGCGCCACCATCGCCCTGCTGATTTTCTTTCTGAAATGTTGGTGTAGGATATTAAATCGCAAGTTCAATCTTTAGGTCAGTTTACTTTAATGTTTTTGGGGGGTGGGCAGAGTTTTTCTGTGTAACAGCCCTGACTATCCCTGAACTCACTCTGATTCCCTGAACTCCTAGAGATCTTCCTTCCTCTGTCTCCCAAGTGCCGGAATTAAAGCCACCTGGCCACTTTAAATTCTTTAATGGTTCTCCTCATTGAAAAAGCTACATCCAGAACCTGTGAATAGGTGTGCTGGCACAGGCCTTTACTCATAGCATTTGGGAGGCAGAGGCAGAGACAGAGGCAGCGGCAGAGGCAGCAGGATCTCTATTACATCCCAGGACAGCCAGGGCTAGTGAATCCCTGTCTCAAACAAAAACAGGGCTAGAGAGAAGGCTCAGCATTTAAGAATGCCTGCTGCTCTTTCAGAGGAACGGAGTTCAATTCCCAGTACCCATGTTGGGCAGTTGCCTTCCAGGGGATTTGCCATCCTCTTCTGGCCTCTACAGGTACTTGCATGGATGTGAGCATTTCCCCCCTTGCCCCTTCTCTATTCTTTCTTCTCCCGCCTTCACCTACACATTAATAAATAAAATAAAATCTTCAAAGCTAGGGCCTAGGGTAGTAGCTCAGTGGCAAAACACTTGGCCTAGCCTATAGAAGTTGTACTCCTAGGGCTGGAGGGATGGCTTAGAGGTTCTTCCAGAGGACCTAGGTTCAATTCCCAGCTCCAACGTGGCAGCTTACGGCTGTCTATAACTTTGGTTCCAGAGGACCCAGCACCCTCACACAAACCTACATGTAGGCAAAACATCAATAAACATAAAATTAAAAAATAAATAAATTATAAAAAACAGAAGTTGTATTCCCAGTACACACACATAAAATAGATAAAAAAGTTTTTTATTTAAAAATTAAATTTTTAATTTTGCCAGGTGATAGTGGCATATGCCTTTAATCCCAGCACTGGGAAGGCAGAGGCAGGCAGATTTCTGTGAGTTCGAGGCTAGCCTGGTCTCCAGAGCGAGTTCCAGGACAGAGTCCAAAGCTAAAGAGAAACCCTGCCTCAAAAATCCAAAATTGATAGATAGATCAATTAATCAATTAAAATTTCAACTTATTGAATGTCAGATGTCATTGAAATAACTACAACATTTTAGTTGCTTGGTCTTTTGCTTTGAGTCAGGGTGTCACTTTGTAACCCTGACTGGCTTAAAACTCATTCTGTAGATGAGGCTGGCCTTGAACTTGTAGCCATTATTCTGCCTGCTGTCTCACCAGTGCTGGCATTACAGGTGTGTACCATTATGCCCAGATTCTGTTTTTAATGCGCATATTCAAAGTCTGATTTTCATGTTAGGATGATTTTAGACTTGTCAGGAAATCCCATTCCTATGTGTGATAAGGAAGACTGTAAATGACACAGTTCAGTGGACTGTAAAACAGTAACCATGTTCACAAGTGCCTCCTTTTAACGCTCTGTAGGAGGCTAGCGAGATGGCTCAGGGTAAGAACACATACTGCTCTTCCAGAGGACCCAAGTGTGGCTCCTAGCACCTACAATAGGTGTCTCACAGCCATCTGTAACTCCAACTCCGGGGGATCCAATGCCTCTGACCTCCTCAGGCACCTGCACAAGCAATGCACATATACACAATAAAATACATCTTCAAAACAAGCCGCTCAGGCCAGGTGGGGTGTTACATACTTATAATTCTAGTACTAGAAGACTGGGGGTGAGGGGATGGAGGAGGAGGCCACTTGTTTGTCCCAGCTGCCCAGAACCAAAATAACCACAGAGAAACTATAGTAATTAAAACACTGCTTGGCCCATTAGTTCTCGCTTCTTATTGGTTAACTCTTATATTAATTTAACTCATTTCTATTAATTTGTGTATCGCCACATGGCAGTAGCTTACCGGCAATGATTCGGCATGTCTGATTCTGGCAGCTCCATGGCATCTCTCCCAACTCTGCCTTCTTCCTCCCAGCATTCAGTTCCATCTCCCCCCCCCCCCACCTAAGTTCTGTCCTGCTATAGGTCCAAAGCAGTTTCTTTATTCATTAACCAGTAAAAGCAACATATAGACAGAAGGACCTCCCACACAAGGGGGAATCTTTGAAAAACCTTATTTTAATTTTTAGATTTATTTTGTGTATATGAGATTTTTGCCTGCGTGTATGTCTGTATATCATATACATGCTTGGTGCCTGAGAAAGTGGTGAGCCTCCCTGTGGGACTGGGACTTGAACCCAGATCCTTTATCAAGAACAAAAGTGCTTTTAACCTCTATGCCAACTCTCCAGCCCTTGAGAAGTCTTTAGAGGGAAAAACCTGCCTTTCTGTCATGAAAACATGCCTTTGCTGTTTTGGTCAGTGTTAAATGTCATCCCTGACATTACAGTTTAGGACATTTGACAGTCTCTCATTCTTACGGGTTCTCAAGCATTTCCCCAGAGATGGCCAACAAGGCAGCAACTGGGAGGAGTCACCTGTCCTCGGCTGTCTCAGTGGCATTTACAGTAACAGCCTTAGTCTGTTTTTCTTTCCTTTTTAGAAAATGACATTTATTTAATTCCTCTGTGAGGGCGTGCAGTCATCCACAGAGTGTGTGTGTGTGTGTGTGTGTGTGTGTGTGTGTGTGTGTATGTGTGTGTGTGTGGTGTGTGCTTTGCCTTTATGCACATGATGAACATTACTGTCTGCAGTCCACCCTCCCCTCAGTCTTTGCTTCATTTCCCTCCTACCCCTCCCTCCTTTCCTCTCTTCTTTCTCCCTCTACCTCCCTCCATCCTTCTCTCCCCCTCTCTCTTCCTCCCTCCCTCACCTTTGTTAGATCAGGCTGGCCTTGACCTCACTGAGATCTGCCTCATAGGTGATTGGATTAAGGCACGGGCCACCACACCACTATTCTGTAATTCTCGAGGAACCTTTTGGACCAGTGTGTCAGTTTCGAGAGGGTGGGTTGAAAACAAGAGGATGGCACAGTGTGCAAATGCCACCACACATAACACTATGATGCCAAGTTACTCTGGGGGAACAGAGGTCCCTGTCAGGGCTCCTGGGGGCTCCTAGTCTTCCTGGAGGATCTGTGTGTTACACCTACGGCTGGCTGCCATGTGAACTATGTGGTAAATATTTGCACTTTTGTTGGCTGAGATGCTCGCTTTGCTTTCTTCCAGATGCCGCTCTTCACACAGCTTCCCTCTGTTAGTTAGCAGGTCGTGTTCTCAGGACACAGCTGCAGCAAGACAGGGCCTGAGGAGATTGAAGGCAGCATAGGCTCAGCCTGGTGTCTCTGTTGTTCCAGACGTACCGTGAACCGGTGTCTGACTACCAGGTCCTGCGAGAAAAGGCTGCATCTCAGAGGCGAGACGTGGAGCGAGCCCTCACCCGGTTCATGGCCAAGACGGGCGAGACCCAGAGTCTTTTCAAGGATGACGTCAGCACTTTCCCTTGTGAGAGTCACCCCCTGTGGGAGCCCTGTTTTGTTGTTTGAGATAATCACACCCTCTTTCCTTTTTCTCTGTGGTGGGGAGAGATGAGTGAGCCTTCGTGTTTTTCTCTAGTGCGGTTTATTCTGCAGATCTCTGGATCCTTCCTCCAGGCCCCGAGATACTATTCCGAACTGTTGGCTGCTCAAGGCAGTGAGTTTAGGTTACCTCACTGGTGGCTGAGCCCTGGCAGCCGAGTCTCCCGTAGAAGTGATAGATCAGCTGGTAGGAGGGACACTGGCATCTGCAGCCAGTTGCCTCTCAGCTTCCTTTCTTGGGTTACATCTCATTTAGGCTTTGTTGACCAAGTCAGTCATCTCCATAGGGGACCTCGGGTTATGCAGAGGTGAATGGGGAGCTTGGTCTAGTCATTCAGGAAGCTTCCACTTGGTGCCTGCCGTGTGCCCGGCTCTGCAGTCACTGGCTGGAGGCCACCAGGTGCTAACCGTTTCCCACACATCCCCTCAGGCAGCCCATCCAGACCTGTGAGTTAGCAATCCTTAGCTTTGTCTTTGCAGGACCTAGAGGCTTGTGGGAAAGGGAATTAACTAGCTTGAGGTCATGGTCACCGGGCAGCATTCGTACCTGGCTCCCTCTGGCTGCTCCACAGAGTCATGTCTCTCTCTTCCAATCCCCAGTGATTGCTGCCAGACCTTTCACCATCCCCTACCTCACGGCCTTGCTTCCCTCTGAGCTGGAGATCCAGCAGATGGAAGAGACAGACTCCTCGGAACAGGATGAGCAGACAGACACAGAGAACATCGCTCTTCATATCAGCTCGGTGGGTTCACCCTTCTGCCTGCCTCACAGTACCCCGAAACAGCCTGTCCTACACTAGGCCCCTGACCCTGGGAACTGAACTGCTCCCAGGTCTATCCCAGGTCTCTAGCCGTCTGTTAGAAGCTTGCACGATGGGCCTGTGTGACCAGTCTCTATCTGAGACATCCTGGGAGTTGCCCGCGTAGCGAATGTTGACAGCACTGCAGGTCCAGACCCTGTTCCAAGTGCTCGGAAACTCGTAGAAGGCACGACCAACAAAGCCCCGCCCTCGGAGCTAAAGGTTCAGACAGAGCTGTGGAAAGGGTGGAAGAATTAGAAGGTGACATTTGAGTCACGACCTGAAGAGACCAATGCCTTATTGTGGCTCAGGGTGGAGTTTGCAGGCACTGAGCGTAGCATCTGTAGGGCCAGCCTGAGATGGAGCAAGCTAATAAAGCAAGCTAACTCGTACCCCTCTGCAGTTTCAGACTGTACAGCCATACAGCCACACACTCTTCTATACAAAGTATATATTTTTTAAAAAGACAGTTATTTGGATTTGTTATATTCTGGTGGACTGCAAAATGTAATCATGTGTTAAGAATCCCTATCCTGCCTCCTGCAAGGTGCTTGGGATTGTAGCAGGATACACAATCACGCTTCACTCAGTGACCAGTTTTAAACTGCCCTCTTGTCTCCTGATAACAGTGTGTCTCTCAGGGACTCTTGCTATGGGCCACTTTAACCCTGGCCCCTTTCTCCAGGTCCTTAAACATAAAGGAACCATTAGTTTTAGAGTGGTTAATTGTTTTTTGTTCTCTCCTACATTTGAACTAGCGCTCTGGCGCAACCAGAAGTTTTTTTACTCTTGGGTGAGAAACCGCGCCAGTCATCCACTCAGTGAGCACCCGTTTTGCAGTGACTATTGTCAGACACTGTTCTGGCTACAGAGAGGAAAGTAGTGACCCCATAGATAAAATCTCTGCCTTTGAGAGCCAGTATGTGCAGTGGGAGAAGGAATTAAACCTGATGTGTGAAGTCTTCACTCAGAGTATTCAAGATGAAAGTGCCATGGACAGAATAGTACCTGGTGAGATGGAGGCTTTGCTTCTCAGGAGTAACACGCTCAAGGTGGACCACCAAGCCAGGGACATGAGGGGGAGAGGAGAGGGGAACTATGCCATTCTCTGGGCAAGAGGGTCCTCGTAGAAGTAACAGCTGGTGCAGAGGACCTGAGAAACACCAGCATTTGGGATGCAGAGCCAGGACAGAGAAGGGAGAGGAAGGGCCATTCTAATGGAACCAACTGTTTCCAGAGCTGGGTGACATAAGTTGCAGGCGGGCGTGGAGCCAAGGAGGGACATTTCTGAACTTCTGGACGCATCACCAGTGGCTGTGGTGCAAGCGAGCCTGAGGGAGTGCTGCTCTGTTAGGAAGCTGCCACAGTGATGTAGGCCAGGGAGAGATGGGGGTCCTTCTCCTCGATACGCACGGCAGGGAAAGTGGAAATGGTCTGGTTGCATTGATAGGTAAAGCCAAGAGGATATCCCTCTAACAGATGAGAATTGAGTGACAGAAAAGAAGCAGGTGGGATTGCAGAACTCACTGCTCAAGCACCTGAAGGATGGTAACGTTGTCACCACAATGGGAGGACTAGGGGTAGGGTACCTGAGGAAGCTGAGGCACATTGAATGTGAGGTGCCTATGGGATGCTTCTATGATGCTGTCAAGCAAGCAGCTGGGAGTCTGAACAGGGAACTGGCGGTGAGAGAGGACATGGTTGGAGTCGGACTTGGAGCTGTTGGCTAAGAAGTGGAATGGACAGTTGTGAGACAGGTAGGGTTGTTGGTGTCCTCCAGCGTTGCCCAAGTGCCCAAGGAACTCGTGCAAACCCCTCACTTTTTCTACAAGTAGTTAATTGGATGCTTTACTTCCTGTCTCAAAGCTACCTAAAGGGGACCAGAGTATAGCATTTCCACAGTGTCCAGCATCCTGCCTTTGTGGGAGCTGGAGCCAACTTTCAGCCCTTCGTGTCACCCTCACTGTTACCTGAGGACATGTGTAAGGTACAGTCGAAGTGGCCTCTGAGCGTTGGTGGAGTTTGGATGTGGAGCAGTGGTCGATGGAGGGAGTGATAGGTGATACTCTGTTACACCCTTAAGTACTGAGGCAGTGCCTTCAGTTCCAGCACTCAGGGAGGCTGAGGCAGGAGGATCTCTGAGTTCAAGGCCAGCCTGGTTTATAGAATGAGTTCCGGGACAGCCAGGGTTGTTACACAGAGAAACCCTGTCTCGAAAAACAAAACAAAAGAATTGAGGCAGGCCGGGAGCTGGGTGTCCGCACAGACTTCCCACACCTGGTCCCACATGAGCGCAGCTGGTCTGGTGGCAGTTGTTTGGAAGAGGGACTCTCTGATGGCTGTAGGTCCACTCGTTGGGTTTAGTGTGAGTGCGGGAGGAATGAAGCACATGTGTTCTACAGGAAAATGGCTTTTTGGTATGGATATGTAGCAAAACCTCTAGAAGCCATCCAGAGCCTTCAGGCCAGTAAGCCCGAGGCCAACTATCCCGAGAGGAATCCTCTGTTCACGGTATCACAGTGACAGCAGCCACTGGTAGTTGGGGTCTGAGGCTCTCAGTTCCTCCAGGGAACCCTTGGTGTGTCACTGAGGGCGATGCCGGTTCAGCTCCTAGTTGCTAGGCCTGCATGGCCATGTCAGATTTTTAGTGTGAAATTTCATGTCCTGACCCTGCTGCCACTGCTCACTTTAAAGAAGTACAAAAATAAATTAAAGGCAAAGAGTGTGGAAAATAAGGAGAGTACAAGTATTAATAAGGAAAGGAGAATCGATTACCCATGCATCCAGGACACTGTAAGCCTGGTTGACAGTGACAGTGTGAACTTGTGGGGTCTGCAGGCTCCGCTTTGCCTTCACTTCTGGAATATGCTAGGATACAGTCATTGGTCCCTTGTTCCAAGTGCCAGAAATGAGAGATTTCGGAGAAATGTGTTGGGACTTAAATTATTTTGGGCCTAGGAGAGCTCTCCTGTGCCCTGGGTTGTTTTGGCTCTGTGTCTCTTACTCCAAGGTATCGACGGCCTTCCTTCTGTTACCCCATCGGGTTAGGCTTCCTCCCTGAAGTGAGAAAATTCTAACCCTCACTCCCAGGCCTTCATTATCTCATCCCCACCTTCTGAAGAGTCAGGACCTGGAGCACCCCACTTTGTCAGCTCCCTGTAGAGCCAGCCACTGCCCAGGTCCCATTGAGCCTGGGGCAGAGATGGCCACCCTGGAAAGACAGTGGCTCCGGCTTCTCCTTTCTCAGTAGACACCAAAGCCGGCTCTTGCTATGGGCACAGCCTCTCTCCTCATGCCACTGGTGCTCTGCTCTATTTCGGCTTTTGCTCAAAGGATGGCACCGGAGCTGAGAAGGAAAACGCTTCTGTCCTGCAGCAGAACTCCTCCTTGTCTGGCAGCCGGAACGGGGAGGAGAGCATCATCGATAACCCGTATCTGCGCCCCGTGAAGAAGCCCAAGATCCGCAGGAAGAAGTGAGTTGGAGGCTGGGGTCCAGAACCTGCTCCAGTCTGCTTGTCTGCTCCTTGGTAGGAATAGGCTCACCAGCAGGCATGAGCTTGGTGAGCACTCCTAGGGCAAGAGGGAGTCATCTTCCTCTGCCTGCTTGTCTCTCCTCAGCTCCCACGTGCAGCAGCTGCACTTCAGTGCCTGTGCCAAGGCAACCCCGTGAGCCCAGAGCTGTGCTCCCCTGGGAGAGTGAGAGGGGCCCCGGGGCAGGCTCTCTGGTTCTTCTTCTCTCTAGGTCCCTCTCGTGAGCTGAGAAGGAAGCTGCCCTGTAAGTGAGAGGACACCGCTTTCCTGGGGCCTGAGATCAGAGGGAAGAAGAAGGTGGTACCCTTTTGGCCTTGCCCAGGCTGTGTCTTCTTAGCAGTAGCCTTCTATGAAGGCAACCCTGTTTGCCAACAGGCCGGAGTCTGCTGGTGACTTCATTAATTCATCACAGGACTTGATTCCTTTGAAACCTGGAGGGCCAGGGAAATTGTTAGGAAGGAAAGGGTCCACTGCTCTATGCCCTGCCGGGCAGACTGCCAAGTGTATCTTCCAGACCACCTGGATCCCCCTCGTTCATCCACAAGAATCATGGCATTGATTTACAGCCCAGAACCTCATTCTCACTTCTCTCTACTCCTGGGCCCCAAGATCCCTGCTGGGCTGGTAGACAGTGACTTTGTATCCCTCATCATGTTGCAAACAGACCCATGCTGCAACTCTGATCTGGGGCTGGCAGGAGCTAGGAGTACATGGGTTAATAAAGATAATGACGGTGACCATCAGAGCCTTGAATCTCTGACCAACATTTGATTAAAGCTGACCACAGTGGGGTCATCCCCCTTGGAACGTGGGCCTCGGAGCACCCTTTTGGGAAGGATAGAGTTAGTTCTCCCAGGACTTGATAGAGGAGCCATGGATTTTAAGCACCAGGGAGAAAGCTTAGCAGCTGGGGGTGGGACTTGCTTTGAGGGCTAGGCTTAGCTGAGAAATGCAGCTGATGGTGGAAAGCCACATTCCCACTCGCTGGAGGGAGTGGGTTGAGGGTCCTGCTGAGTCCATGTGCCTGTCAAGAAGCAAGTCTGAATCCGCCCACTCCCACTCCCTGGAGAGAAGACACCATTCCTCACTTCCCACTAATCATGCAACATGATCTCGAGGATACTGGGAAAGTTGAGATCTTTGGCTTGTTTGAAAAGAGGGATTGAAAAACCAAATCCAAAGAAGAGTGGCAGGGGCACGTGGAAATTGACATAAAGTGGATAAGTCGTCCTTGGATTGGAGTGCTGAGCCCATGTACTCCACCCTGGCTGCTGCTGCTCCTCCTCCTCCTCTTTTTTCTCACTCTCTTACCCTGTGCCATGTGTTTTTGAGACAGGAGCTCACTCTGTAGCCCTGGCTATCCCAGAAATCATTGTATGCCAGGCTCAGTGATCTGCCATGTGCTGTGATTACAGCGTGAACCACCATGCCTGGCTTCCAGTAACTTGGCAGGGGGGAATCAACCTTCCTTGCTGTTCTCTAGAACCCTTGGTCCCTTTGCCTGGAGGAAAACAAAACAAAACAAACAAAAAGCTCTGTGTCTGGAATTGAAGAAAGAATAAGTGGTGGTGCGAAAATGAGCCTTTTTGGCTCTGGTCCAAACAGGAGTATTTTCATGGTGACTCAGAACTTCCGGTCAGAACAAGAAGACCGGGCTGTGTGGATTCTGAGAGCTTGTGATGTAGTTGGCAGCTCCTGGCCCAGTCAGTTGGAATCCAGTCCCAGGGTCTAACAGGAGCTACCACCCCTTGCTGTTCCTGATGCTTCTAGCCAGCGTGTCTGTGTCTGTACTTCTGCACCATGTCACCGTCTGAAGCCAAGCCTGTGGAGTGTGTTGTGTGAGCTGAGGGGGCTCTTGCTGCCTTTGGCCGCGGAACTGCACCACTGTGATTGCTCTTAGAACAGAGATGACCTGAGTGGTGGTGTGTTGAAGTGTATAATTCTCAATGTATATCTATAGATTTCTATTTTTATAAGTTGGGAGAGTCTTAGAGGGAAAAATAAAGTGATTTATGAAAAGTCTAATCAAATTCATAATACAAACTTTGTTTTTTTAAAAAAGATTTTTATTTATTATGTATACAGAGTTCTGCCTGCATGTATGCCTGCAGGCCAGAAGAGGGCACTAGATCTCATGACTGGTGGTTGGGAACCACCATGTGGGTGCTGGGAATTGAACTTAGGGCCTCTGGAAGAGCAGCCAGTGCTCTTAACTGCTGAACCATCTCTCCAGCCCCCATAATAAAGATTTTGGGAATGTATTTACTTTGTCATGCAGGCTTGTGAACCACCTTCCCCATGCTTCTCTTCATAACTACACACATCTCCTTCTCTCGCCACTCTGCCATTGGCGCTCCATGCAGATCAGTGAAGTCACCTTTGAAGGCTGGTTGACTTTCTTCACTCTACGCTGTCCTGAGACCCATTTGTCTCAGGTGGTTGTGTCAACAGTCTGTTTTTCTTTTTCATTTTTTGTATTTGTTTTTAAGACAGAGTCTCATTGGTAGCCCTGGACTGGAACTCACCCTGTAGACCAGGCTGGCCTCAAACTCAAAAGAGATCCCCAGCCTCTGCAAGCTGGGGTCAATGCATGTGCCACCATGCCCAGTTTAGTTGGTTTCCTTTTGTGTGCAGTGGCTTTTCATGTTGTGACTGTGCTGCTGGGCCTGTGAACTGTCTTCATAGGGCTGTTAGAAGCCTGTGAGCCTGGTGCAGTGGCGCTCACCTTTAATCCCAGTGCTCTGGAGGCAGAGGCAGGTGGATCTCTGAGCTTAAGGCCAGCCTGGTCTACATAATGAGTTCCAGAACAGCCAGAGCTACCTAGTGAAACCTTTTCTAAAGAACAAAAATAAGTAAGAAAAAGAAAAAAGAATGAATGAAATAAGTCTGTGGTCAGCAGCTGTGCACAGGCTTCCGAGATAGCCGTGCTCACAGCCCTCAGGCCCCACCTACACAATTTCAAACACAAAACTCTGACACCTAAACCTTGTCAGTTCTAATTTATCTGTTTCCCTCCACACTGTGTGTGTGAAAGGAGGAGACTCACTGTGTGTCCCTGGTTGGCCTGGAACTCCTAAGTAGACCAAGCTTTAAACTCAGATCTGCCTGCCTCTGCCTCCTGAATGCCAGAATCAAAGGGCAGGTTCCCTTGAAGTCTAGAAGAGGGCACTGGATTCCCAGGAGGTGGATTTATAAGAAATTGTGAGCCAGGCAGTGGTGCATGCTTTTAGTCCTTGCACTCGAGAGGCAGAGGCAGGCAGATCTCTGTGCTTGAGGCTAGCCTGGTCTACAGAGTAAATTCCAGGACAGCCAGGGTTACACAGTGAAACCCTGTCTCAAGAAACCCTATCTGGAAAAACCAAAAAAGAGATTGTGAGCTACCAGATATGAGTGCTGGGAACCTGTGTTCTCAGGAAAAGCAGTCACATTCTTAGCCCCTGAGCCATCTCTAGCTGCCCTTCCACACCCTTCTTTTGGAGACAGGGTCTCACTGTGTAGCCCTGGTTGGGCTCGATCTTATGACGTGGATGAGGCCGGCCCTGAAGTCAAGAGATGTATTCAGTTCTAGTTTTCTGTTTTTCTCACGTGTGTGTGTGGGGGGGGGGGGGGGGTACCCTGGGGCCCTTTCACTGAACTACACTCCCATCTCAATAAAAGCTAAGGCTCTTGCTAGCCACAGTTCTGTTCACACATACTAACTCATGAATCCTCATATAGACTCTTTTTAAAGATTATTTTATGTATATGATGGTCTATCTGCAGGTACACCTGCATGCCAGAAGAGGGCATCAAATCCCCACTATAAATGGCTAAGAGCCACTATACAGTTGCTGGGAATTGAATTCATGACCTGGAAGAGCTGTCAGTGTTCTTAACCACTGAGCCATCTATCCAGCCCTCTCATATGTTCTTAAAACAAATGTTCTTACAGTCTGCAGCTGAGGACACAGACCTGCCCTGCTCAGTCCTGTAGTGGTACTCAGGCCTTCTGCTCCACAGCCCATGTTTTCCTTAGATGCTCTTGCCTCCCAGTGGTTGGTATTCTGGCCCTCTAATGCACTGGTACCATGTACTCAGTGACTCCATCATACATCCACACACTGATTGGCTCACTGGTGTGAAGAGAAATTGGACACGGCCTCAGCCTGGCAGGCCATTCTGGAATATGTAGACCCTGGCCTCAAACATGACATGCACATCTGCATACGCACACATGAGTATACACATATGTGTATGCCCCTCCACACAGACAGACACACAAGCATCACACAGATACACCCTCCACACAGAAATGAAACATCTGCTTCCCGTGAAAGGTGCAGCTAGCAATGACTGGACTGTACATTGTGGCTTCCCCTCTTCCTGGTTCCTTTGTCGCCTGGGGTTCTGGTTGCAGTCATAGGATGGGAGGTAGAAGCCATTTCTTGAGTGCATGTTCCTGGGAATGGAGTGAAGAGGCTGGGGAATCTTGGTTTTTCTTCTGAGTGAGACCCAGAAGCTGCGCCACCCCAAACATGGGGTTGCCTAGTTGTGAAGGAAGTGAAGGTGTGTAGCTTTAGCTGAGTGGCCCTGGCCTAGGTTAGAATCAAGGGACTTTTCACCTCGGAAGGAACTGATGGGCTTGTGGGCAATGGAGCCTGTCACTAACGAAGCTTCAGGGAGTGCTCAGGAAAGTCTTGTTGGGACAGACAGCAAGCTACTGCACAGTGGTGAACACCTGCCCTGCCCTTTAGGCTCCCAGGTCAGTCCACAACCTCTGTTGTTAGGCCAGTAAGTGGCTACTTCCTCTTTGATGTTCCTTCGCTTTCTGTCGACGCCCACCTGTCCTTGTTCAACAGCTTGGTCTTCCTTTCCTTTGATGGCTTTTCCCTTGAGCTTGTCCAGCCAGGAAGTGTCCTGGAAGTACCACTTCTGACCTCAGGGACATGGTTCTCTGCTCCTCTACCTCCAACCATTACCTCCCAGCTGGCCTCAGTGTTCTCTGTACCCAGCCATCTGGCTACACTATTTTTTTTTTTTAAATAGTGTCTGTCGGGGTCCAGCCTCGACAGGTTCGTGCGTTGTTCCAGGGCAGGGGCATGTGGATTAGAGATGTTAGGCAGAAGGAAACAAAGACACAAAAGAAATAGAGACACAGGACAGAGTCAGGAGGGCAACCCAGTGAGTACTGAATCCACCCGTGTTTATTTCTCATAGGCTTTCTAGACCCCAATCCAAATAGGAGGGGGAAGACAAGACTTCTTTACCAAGAATCTAGGAACAAAGTCACCACCTTCTCAATACCCAGAGCATCAAGTAACCACACCCTAGGTCAAAACATCCTGTTAGTAGCCACACCCTGGGTCAAACCGCCCCTCAATAACTTTGAAGAAGAAGGAATAGGCCTGAACTCTCTGACCTTTGGTCAAGAGGGAACAAATCCACATCTGTTGGCTCCAACAAGGGTCTCTCCATGTAGTCCTGTCTGGCTGTCCTGGAACTCTATGTAGACCAGGCCAACCTCAGACTCAAGAGATCCTTCTGCCTCTGCCTTCCGGATGCTGTGCATAGTACATGATCAGATTTATCTTGACTTAACCTCCCCACCCTACCCAGACACACCACTCTTGCTGACTTTGGGGCAGGGTGCAGGCTGGGCAGCATGGACTCTCTTCCAAGTCCTCTGGGTAGGGCCAGGCCAGGGGCTTATTCATTGACATCTTTTTTTTTTTAATTTTTTTTTTTTTTGTTTTTTTTGAGACAGGGTTTCTCTGTAGCTTTGGAGCCTGTCCTAGAACTAGCTCTTGTAGACCAGGCTGGTCTCGAACTCACAGAGATCCATCCACCTGCCTCTGTCTCCCGAGTGCTGGGATTAAAGTCATGCACCACCATTGCCTGACTGTTCATTAACATCTGAACAGTCACCAAGCTGCCTTCCTCGCCAATGATGCTGCCTCCCCCAAATATTTGGGGCTCCCTGCTCTTCCCAGCTTTTGTACCCCATTTGTGCCCCTGCAGTAAGACTGCAGAATCTCCCAGAGACTTCTGTCCTGAGTCTAAACTGGCCCAAGTGCCAATCAGGTGCCCTGTCAGTTCTGTATTCTTCTGGGTCACTCAGCCTCCTTTCATTTATTAGCAAACACGATCTGGAACTCTTGTGCATGCCAGGTGGCACTGTACCAGCTCTGAGGGTACGGTGGTGAACAAGACAGACATAGCTCCCGCCTCCAGGGAATTCATTCACAATGAATACACAAAACAAGATACACAAACCGAGACTAAGCCCATTTTAAGTTGTGAAGGGGTGCCAGATGGGCTTCCTGTCCTGCAAGGAGAAGGCCTTTACCCCGCTTCTGGGTCTGCAGTTCACTCCTGACATTTGCCTCTCCTTCCAGCCCTTCAGCTTCTCCCCCATTTTACTCTTCCCATCTCCAGTCTCCAATTTGGCAAACAGCTACTGGGCGTCTGTGGTGACCATATGGATACAGACACTGGCAAACAGCGTAGCGTGGGCCCAGGCCTCTGCCTTCCCAGCACTTACAATGTGTCTGGGGATGGACAGCTCACTCACACACACGGAGTGTCGGGTAGTGAACCTGGGCAGGAAAGCAGGACTATTCATAGTGCTGGGTACCTGGAGGACGGGAGACAAGTGAGAGCTACAGCGGGTAGTGTGCAGAGTCTGGGCTAGTAACACGGGGAGCAGGCAGTGTGCGCAGAGCCGGCACAGAAGCCAAGCAGGGAGCAGTCAGAGGAGCTGTCCTGCCTGCCACCCACGTCATTCAGGATCTCTGACAAAGGACAGAGACCTGGCGATGCAGGTCATGAGTGGCCGCCTTCTTGGCAGGGCAGATAACGTTAGCACGAACCACAAAATCAGGTGGCAGGGGTTGCTGAGGAGCTGCACTTTTTAAAAAAGTGGCCTGAAAAGAATGTTCTAGTTGAACAGAGCACGAAATGCAGCTATCTCTGTGGAAAGGGAGCAGCGCACACAGCTACACTCGTGGTCAGAGGCAGGAGTGTGTGCGCACCTGGGGGGTGGGAGG